TCAGTAGTTGTGGCACGCAGGCTTGGTAGTTGTGGCTCACGGGCTCTAGAGCACAGGCTTAGTAGTTGTGGTGCACAGGCTTAGTTGCTCCGTGGCATGTGGGATCTTCCTGGACCAGGGCTCGAACCCATGTCACCTGCATTTGCAGGTGAATTCTTAACTACTGTGCCACCACGAAAGTCCCACCATTGGATATTTTTAATCAACCACTTATAAGAAGCAAGGAGCTGGGTAACTGTGTATATGATACTTTCAAACGTTTTTGGCAAACTAACAAATATAATGAAATTGGCTGGTTGCTTCTAATTTGCTGAACAAAGTGGGGAAAAAAAAGATGAGTTCAGGAATTCAAATTCCTGAGTAAATCGTGCCTAAATGACCTGAAAGCGTCTATGTATGTCCTGAAGGAGACTCTTATCTCCTACAGGCTGGGGTTACTGAAAATCAAACCCAGAGTCTCATTCTTTGACTGGCTGAATTACAATGCAAGTTGAACTCCCAGCCACATAGTAGCGACTCTATTTTTAAAGTCAAAACATTGATTGGGAAGGAATGGGATCCTGAAGGTTGGAGTGGAGACATGTGGGAAGACTCTAATAAAGCTGGGGACATTGAACCTCTAAGTTCTAATGAGTCTTCTTTGCCAGTGGAAGAGGCTTCTCTGCCCTCAGTGTGAGTAGCATCCCCAGCCCATATGAGGGGATTAAGTCTGCTTTGTCTGAAGAAACTGTAATGACTTCCCCTAAGGCAGTTGCCATGTAAAACAATGCTAATTCTCCTCAGGATCCACCCTTACCATCCTTCTATGCTTCTAAACTATAAATAGACTCAGGTCCCAGCAGGCCCGTAAAGGTGAGGTATGAAGTGTGGCCCATGAGGAGGTACACTACACTTCAAAAGAACTACTTGAGTTTTCTAATAAATACAGATAGAAATCTGAGGAACATGTATGGAACTGAATATTAAGGATGTGGGATAATGATGGAAGGAACATGAAGTTGGATAAGGCTAAATTTATTGATATGTACTCACTAAGCAGAGGTTTTGAATTTCATGTTGCAGCTCGGGATGTTTGGTTCGTTAGTTGAAACATGAACCAAAATGTAGCCCATAGTGAGTGACTTGCATATGCTGTATCTGCCTTGGTTTAATGTAAAGGAAAAGATTCAGAGGATTAGGGAGATTGGAATGTTATGGATTTGTCATTTAAGAGCTACTCACCTACTCTGCAAGGGTCCAGAAGACATACCTTTCACCGTGACTGTGAGAAATAAATTTGTGAGGAGAGCCCCAACATCCTTAAAGAGCTCTGTGATCACTCTTCTCTGTAGGTCATATCTTACAGTGGAAACTGCAGTCACTGAATTAGGAAACCTGAATACAGTGGGAGTAATTGGATCTTGCCATAGCAGGATGTACCAATGGATGGTACTCTACTACCAAAGGCAAGACAGGCGTGGTTACCAAAACAGACAGCACAGTCCAAGCAGCAATCAGAATAGTCTTGACTTGGGCAGTCATATGGCATTGGCTATTTGATTGTGGTGTCCCTAGAAGTGAAATAGAAAGGAAGCTTATTAAATTCTTACGTGATCTGTATAAGCAGAAAAGTTTTAGGTCAGGTGAACAAAAGTCCAGCCTGAACCATAAAAAAGAGAGTCAGGGCCCTTCAGCCAGTTTCTAGATCTGAGCCAGTTTACAGAT